TAGACGCCCGACCTGTGCATTCAAGTCTCCGGCTAGTACTACAATATCTGTCGAACGCGCTTTCTGGAGAAGAACTGTTAACTGATGGTAAAACTCATCCTTGATTGCATCCGGGCTGCAATCTGTCGGGGCATAGGCGGAGATGACGAAAAGACACCGTTTCTCACGCCGATTTCTTCTCACTTTGATGGAACTTTCTAATCTAACAGCACATAACCGACTGTTAATGGGGATCCAATCGATTAGTGCTGCCTCAGCTCTAGCGCTTAGTGCGACACCAACGCCAGCAAGACCAGACGAAGATGCCACAGGGTCCCCGGATAAGCGCACGTGGAACAAGCTTTTCGAGGCGACAGATGGAGAGCGGATTTGTAGTACTTCACTAGAGTCTTGAATACGGGTCTCGGATAGACAACAAACGTCAACATTAAGACCTTCCAAAGACATAGCCAGCCCTATCTGTTGTCTGATCTGCATTAGTGTGCGAACGTTGAAGGAAGCCAGCTTGAACGGCGTACGTGGTTTCAGAAAGACTGCCTCAGTATTCATAATCGGTGGAAGCATTCACTTTCAACCAGACAGTGACTGGAGATCGTTTAGATAGGACAGATTTTCCACCAAGAGCGAGCTGCTGCATAAGTTGAAGAGTAAGGTTACACAAATTGGGGATAAAAGGGGGTGAATTAGCGATATGGTAAGTAATAATAATAATAATAATAATAATAATAATAATAATAATAATAATAATAATAATAATAATAATAAAGGTAATAATAATAATAATGTTAATTGTTTTGCTTTTAGTATGACCAGGGATATCGTCAATAAAGTTCATAATTTCATTCATTTGTTTGTGTGTGGGCTGTGATACTGCCCGGGTGCCCAAACCGAAGCAGGTGGTTTTCTTAGGGGACCACACCCCGAGCCTTTGACCTAAAGGTCTGATCCACAAGGCAGTGGAGCATCGTGAGGAGATGCAGTCCCATGGTTGCCGTTGACCAACAGCAGGTTCTTCCGCCATTCGTTCCATCAGGATACTGGAGCCCATGTGCACCATTGGTTTGGAATCAGGGTTTTCCAACTCCCCTAGGTGGACCCTCCGTGTCCACCAATCCGGTTATAGCGCCGAACATTCGCTTTTCGTCCTCTCACTTTCGTAAACAACACCCCCGCCACGAGAAGGCAGTGAGTAGGACTTCCCTGGCAGAGGCTATATATTCGCTGGCCATGTGAGAGCATTTCGAGAGAGAGAGAGAGTAGACTCTCCCCACTCTCGGCCGTACCAGGGCATTCCTAATTAGACAATGATAGATGATTTCTGGTAACAAGTGGACATTATGGTCAAACTGCTTAACAAACCAACTCCGCCTGTAGCTCCTCCAGGGGCTACTGCCGGTCCCAAGCCCGGGTAAAGGAGGAGGGTTGGGCATGGGGTTAGCGACCCCATCCCGTAGAAAATCAACTCGCTAAAAAAACGCTAACCAGAAAAATTCATTCAAACCATTCAAACTCTGCCCTGGGAGTAGAAGGAAAAATGACGCCTCATGATGAAAGCCGAGTTCCTTCGGAAGTCATGAGGCCGATGCACCTTCTTACAACCAGAGCGACAATTTTTATAGGTACATGGAATGTCCGGACAATGTGGGAGACCGGCAGTCTTCCAAATTTCTGCGGAAATGAGGAAATACAACCTGGAAGTGCTTGGAATCAGTGAAACACATTGAACGCAGGTTGGACAACAACGACTGTCTTCAGGGGAACTTCTGTTATACTCCGGTCATGAAGAAGAAAATGCCCCACATACACAAGGAGTGGCACTGATGCTGTCTAGAAAAGCACAAAATGCACTTATAGGATGGGAATCTCATGGACCGAGGATCATCAAAGCCTCCTTCAAAACAAAGAGGGAGGGCATTACAATGAACATCATCCAATGCTATGCGCCGACCAACGACTACGATGAAGACGCTAAAGACCAATTCTACGACAGATTGCAGTCGATCGTCGAGAAGTGCCCAACCAAGGACCTGACAATTCTGATGGGAGATCTCAATGCTAAGGTTGGGATGGACAACACTGGATACGAAGACGTCATGGGACAACATGGACTGGGAGAAAGGAACGAAAATGGTGAGAGATTTGCAAACTTATGTGCCTTCAATAAACTGGTCATAGGTGGCACCATATTCCCACACAAAAACATACACAAAGCCCCTTGGATTTCACCGGATCACACTACACAAAATCAAATCGACCATGTCTGCATCAACAAAAAGTTCAGGAGGACGATGGAGGATGTGAGAACCAGAAGAGGAGCTGATATAGCATCCGATCCCCATTTGCTGGTCGCCAAGATGAAACTAAAACTCAAGAAGCACTGGACAATGGCGCGGACAACATCACAAAAGTTTAACACGGCCTTTCTTCGAGATGCTGACAAACTCAGCGAATTTAACATAGCCCTCAGCAACAGGTTCGAGGCCTTTCATGACCTACTCAATGGAGAGGGAACCACCATAGAGAGCAGCTGGAAAGGTATCAAGGAGGCAATCGTTTCAACATGTCAGGAGGTTCTGGGCCAAAAGAAGCACCATCACAAGGAATGGATCACTGTTGGTACACTGGATAAAATTGAAGAAAGAAGGAACAAGAAGGCAGCAATCAATATCAGCCGAACAAGAGCAGAGAAAGCCAAGGCACAAGCCGAATACACAGAGGCAAACAAGCAAGTGAAGAGGAGCATCAGGACCGACAAACGTAAATATGTGGAAGATTTAGCGATGACAGCGGAAAAGGCTGCAAGAGAGGGAAACATGAGACAACTGTATGATACAACAAAGAAACTTGCTGGAAATTACCGTCAACCAGAAAGACCAGTGAAAAACAAGGAAGGCAAAGTAATCAACGATATTGAAGAACAACGAAACAGGTGGGTAGAACACTTCAAGGAACTCTTGAATCGACCAGCTCCACTGAACCCACCCAACATCGAAGCAGCACCCACAGACCTCCCGATCGATATTGGCCCACCAACAATTGAAGAGATCAGCATGGCCATTAGACAAATCAAGAGTGGCAAAGCAGCGGGACCAGACAACATCCCGGCAGAGGCACTGAAAGCAAATGTAACAGCAACTGCCAAGATACTCCACATCCTCTTCGGTAAGATTTGGGACGAAGAACATGTACCAACAGACTGGAAAGAAGGACTTCTCATCAAGATACCAAAGAAAGGCGATCTGAGCAAGTGTGACAACTACAGGGGCATCACTCTCCTCTCAATACCAGGAAAAGTCTTCAACAGAGTATTGTTAAACAGGATGAAGGATTCCGTGGACGCTCAACTTCGAGATCAACAAGCTGGATTTCGTAAGGATAGATCGTGCATAGATCAAATCGCAACTCTACGTATCATTGTGGAACAATGAATCGAATGGAATTCATCACTCTACATCAACTTCATCGACTACGAGAAGGCATTTGATAGCGTGGACAGGACGGCACTATGGAAGCTTCTTCGACACTACGGCGTGCCTGAGAAGATAGTCAACATCATACGGAACTCCTATGATGGACTAAACTGCCAAATCGTCCACGGAGGACAACTCACCGACTCGTTCGAGGTAAAGACCGGTGTTAGGCAAGGTTGCCTACTCTCACCCTTTCTCTTTCTCCTGGTCATCGACTGGATTATGAAGACGTCAACATCTGGAGGAATGCACGGGATACAGTGGACAGGCAGGATGCAGCTTGACGATTTAGACTTCGCGGATGATCTGGCTCTTCTATCACAAACGCAACAACAAATGCAGGAGAAAACGACCAGTGTAGCAGCAGCCTCAGCAGCAGTAGGTCTCAATATAAACAAAGGGAAAAGCAAGACTCTCCGATACAATACAATATGCACCAATCCAATTACACTTGACGGAGAAGCTTTGGAGGATGTGGAAACCTTTACATATCTGGGCAGCATCATTGATGAACACGGTGGATCAGATGCAGATGTGAGGGCGCGGATCGGCAAAGCAAGAGCAGCATACCTACAGCTGAAAAACATCTGGAGCTCAAAACAATTGTCAACCAACACCAAAATGAGAATTTTCAATACAAATGTCAAGACAGTTCTTCTGTATGGGGCAGAGACGTGGAGAACTACGAAAGCCATTATCCAGAAGATACAAGTGTTTATTAACAGCTGTCTACGCAAGATACTTCGGATCCGATGGCCAGACACTATCAGCAACAAGTTACTGTGGGAGAGAACAAACCAGATTCCAGCGGAGGAAGAAATCAGGAAGAAGCGCTGGAAGTGGATTGGGCACACTTTGAGGAAATCACCCAATTGTGTCACAAGACAAGCCCTCACATGGAGTCCTGAAGGTCGAAGGAGAAGAGGAAGACCAAAGAACACATTACGCCGAGAAATAGAGACAGACATGAGAAGAATGAACAAGAACTGGAAAGAACTAGAAAAGAAGGCCCAGGACAGAGTGGGTAGGAGAAAGCTGGTCGGCGGCCTATGCTCCATTGGGAGTAACAGGCGAAAGTAAGTAAGTAAGCTTAACAAACCATATAAAGGTAGCAGTGAATAAGTTGCTGAGTGGTATTCCTAGTAGGTATGGTGACTAATCTAAAAAGCTGCCAAACAACTTATATGTAGAGCCTGAATAAACAAAGGTTAACAAAGAGAGGCTAAGACCAACAAACCCGGAAAATTGTCTACTTTTGTTACGCCCGACACGCATTGGCAAAACGAAATAGCATTGTCATGAATGGGTATAGGCCAATTTTAAGGTGAAACGTTTCCTAACAAGTCAAGCACGGAAACATAGTAGGGGTTTTAAGATACACTTGCCGACTTATGAGAAGACTTAAACATTGTTTACCTAAAATGACGATTGTCGCATGGGGATATAATTAAACGTAGTTTGAACAATGATACAACATTTAACACGTGTGATACCAAATCACCATGGAAAAGAGCAAACGAAGTAACTTACCGAAAAAACCGTCTCCATTTACCATCAGTCCTCGGACACACTAAAACATGCTAAACAACTCATTCTCACATGAACCACAGTAAAGAGCGAAGAAACTACGGGGGGTAAAGAATAATTTCCGTTCGCAGGAGTCAAAATATTTGTTAATTGTAATGCACTTAGGGTGCACAAAACAATCCTAGTACATAATATACAAAATCCGTAAACATGAGCTAATGAAAAAAGCAGTGATCAAACTGCGAGCTATATATTCAGCCGCAGTGTTTCAAACAAATTTCAACTTTCAAGCATTTCAGCCCCAATTTACAACGACAAACGGGAATAATTTCTTTACGACTTTGGTATTCGTATTTTCGGTTTCTTTTTTGTTTCTCATACGTTATTTCTGTGAGTTACTTGTCTCGGCTTATCGATGTTATAGAAATAATGATAGCTTATGCTAAATTATCTTCAGTCAGTCTTCAGTAATAAGGATAGTAGGTTGACGAACCTGTGTTAATCCTGACAGATTTCCTTCCAGTGAAGATCCAGCTTCTCATTGAAAATCTTCACTGATGGTGCTGATACTACTTGTTCGGACAATGCGTTCAAGTCATTGACCACTCGACGAGAAGAACGGGACCCCACCTTTAGTTTATTAAATCGCGGTTTCTGAACCTTCTTGCTATGACTTTGGAGATTATTAGTGCTGGAGGGAGCGAAAAGATAAGACATATTAACGCCCAAATTATAATTAAAGATACGAAATGCCAATATAAGTTCACCTCGTGTCCTACGATAAGATAAGGGGAGAAGGTTTAGAAGTTTCAAACGCTTCATCGTAAGGGAGTTTAGAAAGACTCTTCACTAACTTTGTCCACACACACTGGACGCGCTCAAGTGATTTAGTATACTTTATTAGACATGAGCTAACTGCTTGGATACAGTACTCTAAGTATGGCCTTACATAGATGGGATATAAAATTCTAAACATCTCGTCTAAGGATTTAAATGCTCGGCGAAGTGACCATAGCGCACGATAACCTTTAGAAACAGCCGCGCTGCAGTGCGTAGTAGTTTTCATGTCGTGACTTATAGTTACTCCTAAGTCTTTATGTTCTTGAACGCGTGGCAGAGATGTACCATTAATGGTATAATAGTAACTATTATCGTGCCCGATGTGCATGAACACGCTCTTCCTGGAATTAACTTCCAAGCCCCAATCATGAGCCCGTCTAACTAATTCGTCTCAATCAGATTGTAGATGACAATGATCAGTCTCACTTCTTATTGTTCTCCAGATTTTAACATAATCCGCAGTGATGTGAACGACTTAAGTAATAAAGGTAGTTCATTAACATACAGAAGGAAAAGTAAAGCACCTAAGATGGTGTCTTGGGGTACACCATTTTTGACCGGTTTCCATTCGGATAACGTTCCATCGACCCTCACTCTCTGGCTGCGGTCGTATAAGAAGCTTCCTATCCATTCATGTATAACACCTGTTATTCCGAAGCTCGAGAGCTTCTGCATGAGACCTAAGTGTGAAACCTTATCAAACGCTTTGCTAAAATCTGTGAATATAACGTCTACAGACGAGCAGTTATCTAGGGCAGCTGTCCAATCCTCTTTCGCAATGAGTAAGTTAAATTGTCTGAAATTTCTAACGGAATGAGAAAGTCTCTAGTCCCCAGTCTTAAGAAATAAGGATAGTAGGTCGTCTCGGGCGTGTCATCTCTTGATAGTTCTTTTCTGATGAAGATCCAGTTTCTCCATGAAAGTGTCCTCTGTAATTCCTATTATTGGCTATTCTACGGGAAAGCGAAATCCCTCTTTGGACTTATTGAAAGATGTTTTCAAACCTTCTTGCCACGATTTCAGGGATGATTAGTTTCATAAGGAGCATAGAGATAAGACACTTTGTCACACAAATCGTTATGAATGACAGGGAATATCAGTGTAGGGTCACTTCGCGTTTTGCGATAAGATATGAGGTTATAGGAGCAATGAAATGTTACTGAGCTCTAGCCAAATAATCCGGCATTTGGGTCACTAAATATCGAACAGATCATCGACCCCTGTCAAATGCAAGGACAGCAAACGAGCATCAGTTAGTCGTACGCCATAAACTGGCTCATGTGGAAGTGGTTTTACTTTCTATTGTATCTACTTTAACCAATATATTTCCATAAAAACGTCCTTAGTGTTATACGGTCTTCAAAGCAGCCATAGTACTTTAATGCGTCGAAAGGGTAATCCACGTTAGACGATGATCGCGAGGTGTGACTTTGAAAAAAGCTAGTCTGTCACACCGTTTCCATCGAACTCGAGTAGGCCGCAAATCATTCAACATAGATAATCTATGTTGATAATCTTCGAGGTAGAGGTTTAGGCACTTGAAGTGCTCACATAATGGGGGTTTATAATGACTCTTCAATAATTTAGTTCTGATACGCTTAGCACACCCCAGTATGATAGCATTTTTAGTAAGTAACGATAACGCTTGAAAACCTGTGTCTGTTGCATCGCAATATGCTACTCATTTTAAGCCATGGCTTGCTGTTACTTTAAAGACCTTACATTCCTGCACACGTGTAAGCGATGTACTACCAATAGTATGCTGGTAACTGCTGCCTTGTCCGATGTGCGTTAGCATACTCTCTCAAGAATCAATTTCTAAGCCACAACTTTGTGACCATCTGACCAACTTATCTAGATCAGCACGGAGATCAACATGACCAAGCTCATCACCTATTATTCTGCAGATTTTTATATTATCTACAAACAATAATGTCGATAAGTTCAGCAGTCTTTGAAATTAAGTGACTTCGAGAGGATAGGGAGCTAAAGATGGTGCCTCGGGGTACACCACTACTGACCAGCTTCTAGTCATTTAGTGTTCCATCCACTTTCAAACTATCTTCAGACACAGAGGAATTTTCTCGCTCATTCTTGTACTGGCCCTGTTATTTCGAAGCTTGGAAGCTTCTCCATAATCCCATAGTGAGAAACCTTATAAGATGCTTTACTAAAACTCATAAATGTCACATCAAAACACAAACCGTTATCTTGGGCTTCTGTCCAATTCTCTCTTGCAATTAGTAAGTTATGTAGGAATAAATTGCTTATTCCAAGACCTGTGTTGCTCGAGAGTTGATAGATTGCATGATTCTATGCAACTTACTAACTCAAAACAATTTTTTAAAGTGTCTTAACGACTATGCTGGCAAGGCTGACAGTTCGTTAGTTAGACTAAGAACGCGAGTGATCATAACACTGTCGTATGTAGCCTTAATATAAAAAACACAAACGGTAGACGTAAAAATGTAACCCTTCGTAGAAACTATCGCAAGGTAGATTGGAATAATTTTCACAATTACCTAAGAAGCACTGACTGGGGTACATTCTTTACTGCAAACAATACCGACACATTAACCAATATATTTTATCACAACATCGAAAGTATCATCAACAAAATCGCACCTTTAGAGTACTGGAGACCTACGTTTTCTAAAGATCTGTATATACTGGTCGGTACACGAAGACATCTGCAGAGACATTGTACTCGCTTCTACAACTCTAATGATTTCTATTCTTTAGTAACGATGACAGAAATACTTGTCCAGACAGACGCAATAAGTACACAAAAAGCAATCGAACAGGAAAAACGTGCTGTCGAACTTTGTGACAACTTCTCAGCACTCACCACACTCTTTCAAAATAAACTTAAACGTTCTAAGTCGAGAGGAAACATATTTATTAAAGACAAACAAGTGTACGAAGATCCTAAACTTGTTACGGAACAATTTAATGAACACTTTTGTTCCTCGTTAACTGATGAAAAACCACTTAATGATTCAGAACTTATCACAGCATCTGCCTGTGAGATTACTAACGTAGATTTCAATGTACAGAATATCTCTAAGGCAATTAGTACACTGAAACACTCCTACACTGATGGACCAGATGGTAATACGGCTAACATGCTAAAACGTGGAGGCGATGATATGTGCGTTTTATTACTCAAACCATTTGCGATATCACTCTCTACAGCGCATTACCCTACTGCCTGGAAAACTACACACATCATTCCCAAAATTAAAACAGGACCTGAAGCAAATGTTGAAAACTACCGACCCGTAAACATAACTTCAGTGGTGTCTAGAGTGATGGAGAAAGTAGTTAAGGCGGCGTTAGTCCAACATGTAATTACTAATAATCTCATCTCGGTCTCCCAACATGGATTTCTTAGGTCCAGATCATGTGATACATGCCTAGTGGACTACATGAATGATATAACTCTGAAACGAGACAATGGACTCCTTGTATCAGTCATATTTTTAGACTTTAAGAAAGCTTTTGATTTGGTTTCACACAATCGGCTACTAGCCAAACTACGGTCCTTCGGAATCAACAACCCACTCTATTCATGGTTTGTTTCATTCTTAAAGGGACGTAAACAAATGGTAAAGTACAACGACTGTCTCTCATTACCTAGACCAATAACTAGTGGCGTCATCCAGGGAAGTGTATTAGGCCCACTTTTGTTTCTCATGTATATAAACGATATATGTAACATCTTAAAATCTGGGAAACCATACTTATATGCTGATGATCTCAAAATAGTATACAGCTATAAGCCTGAGGCTCTAAGTGAAAGTGTACCCCTGATTCAAGATGATCTCAATAACCTAACTATCTGGAGCGAAAAGTGGCAATTACCATTTAACCTCCACAAATGCGGGATCATGCACTTTGGAAAGCACCCCTATGAACCCCAACTTTACTTAAATAAAAGTAAAGTCCAGACAATTAATTCAGTACACGATCTAGGAATAAATTACACAGGAAGCCTAAACTTTAAAGCACACGCCTCCTCTATTATTTCTAAAGCCAGATGTCTAATTGGTTTCATAACGAAAAATTTCTTCACGACAGATGCTAAGCTTACCCTTTACAAAATATGTGTACGACCTCCCTTAGAATACTGCTCCTTTATCTTCTCTAATATGAATACCACTGACAAAATAAGAGTAGAT